TTGAATTCCACACAATCACTTCTTTCATTGGTATTGGAGCTGTGATATGTTACTGCCATATTCTAGGAGTTTTATTTCATTCTTGAATCAAAAAAGAAGGTAACGAAAAGTTTTATGATTGGACTTATTAAATCTGAAAAATTCGACGGGAAGAATTATGGGAGTCGGAAAAGAAAATTGGTTATATCCTCTTTACTAAGAGGCCCCCACCTACGCCAAAAGGAGTTTTTTATGAAATACATTCTATAAGGGATGTTAATGGTCAGTGGGAGTGCAAAAATACCTTGGCTATGCATCTTATGGCCATGGATGACATTCATGCCCTCGAGTACGAGCCCGGGAGACTGCAAAAGAAATCCATAAGAAGCTCGAGGTTGATCATGCTACTCCTTTCCTCACTAGAAGACCCATGGCAATGAAGCAGTACTTAGACCTAAAGATGGAGGGAGGAAAGCTGGTCGAGCACATTCAAACTTTTAGAGCCCTGATCCAAGAACTCAAGGCTGCCCAAATAAAGGCAGATAAAAACATGCAAGTGTACCACCTGCTAAATTTCATGCCAAGCTCGTGGAAAGCTTTCATCTCAGCCCTCACTGCACAAGAGAGCAGACGGAAGCTGGACGAGATCATCACCAAGCTAAAAAACGAACAAGAAAGAAGAATAATTCATGATACTCCAGCTGTTAATGAATCTATGAACCTGGTAAATTTGCAATCGAACTTTAGTTCATTTAAGAAAAGAACGGCAAGGGCAAGAATAAGAATAATGAGAATTGAAAGGGGAATAACGGGCCTAAAAAAAAGAGGGACTTGAAGAATACCCATTGTTATAACTATAAAAGGTTTGGGTACATTGGAAATTACTGCACAACACCCAAGAATGTGAATCCCAAGGGCGATAGGGAACATGCTTGTGTGGTCTTTGAGACCATGCTACCTGACCTAAGGGAGGATCGTTGTGTTTTGACTCAGTGTCCACTGCCCATTTGTCTAACATCAAGGATGGCTTCGGAATTTCAAGCTTGTTACCCATGGGGGATCAATATATCTTCATTGGTGGAAATCAGAATACTGAGATTTTGGATATTGGGAGATTATGTCGTTCACTTCAGAAAATGGCAAGAGCATGGTCCTAAAGGAAACTCTTTATGCTCCAGACATAAGAAAGAGTTTGGTTTTTGTCTCAAGATTGGCTAAGGTAGGATACTCGGCTATTTTTACTGGTAATAAGGTGAAGGTATAATCAGGGAAAGAATTAGTCATGAATGGTCTTCTTGTAGACAATGGTTTTTTCAGTTGCAATAAAGAATTCTATTTCTTCTATCTTATGTTATAATGATGGTGATGATGCCTTCATATGGCATATGAGATTGGGGTACAAAGATCATAAGAGAATGGACAAATTATAGAGAGAAGAACTATTGAAAAAGCTAAATAGAGACTTAAGTAGAGTTTGTGAATCATGTGTTTAAGGAAAAACTGGTCAAGAAATCCTTTGTGAAAGCTCATAGAGTTACTGGCATTTTAGAAGATTTCCTGGTGATATTTGTGGACTTATGAATGTGGCCATTTAGGGCCACAGCCGGTACTTTATCTCTTTCCTTGATGAATACTTCCATTTTGGCCATTTATACCTATTGTTGGAAAAGTCAGAAGCCCAAGACCGTTCCAAAGAATACAAAGCCAAGGAAGAAACCCAAACAAACCTTAAAATTAAAGTGCTTAGAACTCATAAGCGTGGAGAATATTCCTCACGGTTATTTAAATAGTTTTATATAGAGCATGGTATCATTTACCAATATACCATGCCGTATACTTGATAAAATGGGGTACTGGAGAGACGGAATAGGACCTTGGTGGAAATATTAAGGAGCATAATGAGACATGCTAAACTCTCCCTAGATTTCTTGGAGGAAGCAGTTTTGACAGTCAATGACATTCTTAACCGGACTCCTACAAAGGCTGTCCCACTAACTCATGAGATTTTTACTAGTCGTGTGTCGTTCCTTTACCACCTAAGAGTGTGGAGATGCTCTGCCCGTCCTAATAAACATGGAGGAGGCGCACCTATAGTTACCCACATTGTGTACCAAGGAATTGCAATTTCGCATTTCTGGTTGGGAATCATGATTTTGCGTTTCCCATGATGAATTGTGATTCTCGGAAGATAGGAATCACTGTTCCAGTTTTCTGAATCTCAATCCAATGGGTATCTATGCACAAAACAAGGGAAATTTATCAAATTATGCATAAGAGATGAACAATTTAACATTTTTTCCATATCTTTTCATTCAATTTCAAAATACCCATAAAAAAACATGGCGTTAAGTTGGAATAGTTGCAAATGGGAAAGATGTTAAATGATTAATCTATAATGGGTACTTTGATAAATTTTCCATTAAAAAAAAAAAAAACTTGTAACCAACCCTAGGGCTTAGATCGAAATCCCTAGGAACTAGGTTAGAGAAGAAAAGCAAGTGGGAAGAAAACCAACAGGGAAGAAATTTTAGGGTAGAAAAGAAAAGCAAGAGGAAGAAAGAATCATCGCTCTGATACCATGTTAGAGAAGGGAGAGAGAGATGAAAAGACAAGAGGGGGAGTAAGAGAGTGACTTGAGAGTCCAAAATAGATCTCAAGCACCTCTAAAATCTCTTTTATATTAATAAAATTAGAGAAATGGCAAAATGGCCTATACAAACTGGGAATAGGACATATAAGTCCTATTAACTTAAATAAAAAAGAAATAAAGATAAAAAAAGGAATTTTAACAATACTTAATAGAAATACATACCTCTGAAATGACACATTTGTCTATTTTTCTTTCACTGCTGAACATCTAATCTTTGAAGAGGACGTGGTAGTTGATGTAATCTTGCAATTGTTTTGTTTCATGCAGCTATGCCGGAAATATTAATCTTCGTCCAGAAGGGAAAGGTCCAAACCACACTAATATTATAGTCATCTCTATATTGGGGGGTTCTCTGCTCCTCATTATTGTTATAATTACTTGTTGTTTCTTCTTTGTTCGGAGGAAAAAACATCAAGACAATGAGAAAGGTCTGTATGTGGTTACTGCATGATTTTCTCATGCTCTCGAGACAAATTATGTTGTCAATCTGATGCACTGTGGTATTCTCTTATTCAGATGATGCTTCTGGCCTACAGCCTCCAAGAAAAACAACCTCATCGCAGAGTGAAGGGCCGGCTGAAACAGCACACTTCTTTACTTATGAAGAAATTGAAGATGCCACTGGGAAATTTCAAAAGAGAATAGGTTCTGGAGGTTTTGGAACTGTATACTATGGAAGGCTGAATGATGGCAAGGAAATAGCAGTCAAAGTTCTATCTAGCAATTCCTACCAGGGGAAAAAGGAGTTTTCTAATGAGGTATCCTCTGGTTTTATGGCCTGATAACTTGAATTTGGTTGGTAAATCAATGCATTTTTTTTTTTTTTTTTTTGTAGTACTTGAAATTTGTGGATTTAATTTCTGCTACCAAATTTCTTCAGATGCTATCACCTTCATGTTCAAAGGAGTGCTAATGCTTCATTTGATTTATTACTCAAGGCATTAGTTAAATTGCTTGATTTCTATTGTTCTAGGACCTGCTTTGCTAGTAAGATCATATATAACTGTGGCCTCTTTTGAGATGTGGCTTCTGCTAACTGGAACTGTGGTATTATTGTTCTCTGTTTGACTTGGCATGATAGGTTTTCAGATTCTCTTAGATATGAAATTGAATATTGTCCTCATGTTGTTGGTCGGCGTTGTATTGTCAAATGGCATATTTTGAAATTTTGTAAATCTTTTGTAACAATTCTAAGGACTTCCCATCTTAGTGGCAATATAGGTAAAAAAGTAGCGAGATGTATGGGTTTTGGATTACACATATATGTTGCTTCCAGCTAGGAAATTGCACTTCAAAAATCAATAACCTTGTTTCATATTCTTAAAGTCATAAGTCATACTTAGATTGAAGGAACACATTCCTTTTTTATATATAAAAAAAAGTTGATCATGTTCACAGGTTCATGGATGTAAATACCAAAATAACCTTATATTTAAGTATAAAACAAATAATTGCCAAACATGATAGCATCAATATTTAGCCAATCAGAGAAGATGATAAGAAATCTTCATTGAAAAAGGAAAATAGATTTCGAAAAAGACATGGATGCCAAAAGTTAGAGGCAGACTAGTATCAAACACCATATGTTTCCCAAGTTCGCGAAAATAATAATTAAAATTGACATGCACAAGACCGGATGAGGTTTACTTACCTTTTAATGAATCCGATCTCCCCTTTTCATGCCGTTTGCTTCCTTTTGCAGGTCGTGAGTTTGATGATGCCTTCTTAGGTTACTGTCTTTTTATTACTAGAACTATGGATAATCCTGAGCTTCGAGGGATGGCCTGAGATTTTTTGCTTTTACTGGAAGAGGAATTTGTTGCTAGCTTTTCCTGGAACGAGTAGGAGAGAGAGAGAGAGAGAGAGAGAGAGAGAGAGAGAGAGAGAGAGATGTATAGGCTCTTTTTAAGGATAGAGAAATATATAAAAGGTTTTGGGAGGTACATGCAACCAACAATCTCTCTCTACATCCACCTTTCTATAGAGAATCCCACTCCCTTAACTCCTTCCTCTTGTGGTTACCCCAATCTATTTGGAAGTCAGTCCTATTACCCATATTGAATTAGCTTTCTCAAGATTGGATAAGTTTTCAACCAACTCTATCCAAAAAGGTTTTCTCTTTCCTCCACCACAAACAAACGAAGTAATTTCCTTGGAGGTCCACCCACCCACAAGGGGCGAACCATCCAAATCCAATAACTACGGATAAGAAAAATTAAATAAAGCAATGAGGCCATCCTTGGAACATGGTGGTGGAGGCTTGGTAAGAGCTCAAGTCAATTGTGGGAAACTGGCCCAGCAAAGAAGTATGGCATTGATGACTTGGGATGATATGTAAAGGCCGTAATTAATGGGGGAAGATCATCCAATGTATGGAATGGAGTAGACCAAATTTGACAATGATTCATCAGATCCAAGTGGTTTTGGCATGACACATGACTGTGACCATGCCCATTAAAGGACGATATCGGGATTTGTATGCCTTTGGCCACAAACCAATTGGTCATGGTGAAACAATCGGTTGAAGGCTCAGTTTGCCATGCAGTATGGGGCCTAGTTTTAGATGTGCAGTAAAGGAGGATAAAATTGAATGTCTAGTTGAACTATATGTAGAAGCAGAAAGCATTTTTAACTTGGCGAGAAAGGAAGATAGGATATTGTGGTCTTTGGGAGTTCTTGGTGAAGTCATTTTATCAAGATTTAACTTGGATCCCAGGGAAGAATTCACCTGCTAGTGAGGTTCATATTATGTTTGGGGCTCCCAAAACTCTTCCTTTGGTTGGTATGGAAAGTGTCCTCACACTGGACAATCTGAGAAGTAGAGGCATTATCATCCCACCATCTGCATTATAATGGTTGTTACAGCTTTTTCCAAGTAGGTGTTGGATGTGTTTTTGGTCACCATACAGACTAAATACATTTTAACAGTCGCTTGATAGATTGAAGGCGTGCTTATAAGGTGAGGTCTTTGACGAATGCTCGATAGCGGTCTTAACAGACGGTGGATAAGATATAAGCATGGTTCTTGATGATACCTGCCAAGATATGCCCTTGATATGATATGAAGGTGTGATATTCCTTTGACATGATATGCTTAGAACTCATCATATGAAGGCCCCAATATGCCTTCAGAGTCCTGCCTTGTCAGTCAACGCCTATATGTTCTGACTTACGACCGATAATGATATGATACCGATGACTCATTAGTCAAGCATGTTCATCTTTTGACTTACGGTTGATGATAGAAGATATTAAGACCATCCAATTGTGAGGCAGGTTCTAGGATACATGTATACATCTACGGCCCCAATATGCCTCTCCATGTGATATGTGGAGGAACTTGATGCAGTTTGATACATTCTTGATTTAGTCATCAGTTACACATGTGCATCGTGACTTACGGTCTATGATAAAATACTATAAAGACGTTTCAGTTTGAGACGAAACTCTGGGATACATATACTCCCATGGCCCATATATACCTCTCCACTGAAAATTGGAGGAGTTTTGATGAGATGTAATATGTCTCTTTTAATCCATCGTCAATTAAGGAGATAAGGCTTAACCGACGGGGAACAAGGATACATCGTCATATGATATGATAATGACGTGAATCCTTAAAGATGCATATACCATGAGGCTTGATATTCCTCTATGTCCGAGAATTATATAAATTGGGCATAATTCGGAATTGGCTTAGCCTAGTGTCTATATCCACCGTCAGTCTAGATATGCCTTGACCGACGCCCCAAAACTTTATGTTTTGAGATTGAGTCATGACTTTCAGGGGACCATATCATTTGGAGGTGGTTTAACCTATCACCCGACAGTTAAAGCCTTAAATGTTTTATACTCCGTATGTTACAGTCAGGATAACCCCCGGTCACCAAAATTGAGATTTCTCTCTTGATATGAGGAATTTTCTCATGGGACCAGGACTATTGGGTTCCTAACTCAATGCCCAATCACCCTTCAAAGGTGCAACATTGATTTATTCATACATTGGAAGCAGTTGCATCCACAATTCCTGGTTTTGCTGATGCAATTTCCAGCAGAAACACAACAACTTGAACGGACGAGATCTCTCTCATCTGTGATCCATTTTAAGCGATACTTGAACCACTGTGTTCGTCTTTGAGTCCTCTCCAAATTTCATGTTCAAAGGATTTGTCCTTAAGAAGCGGTTGCATCCACAATATACCGGTAATATACTGTTCTTGCTGACGCAATTTCCAGCAGAAATACAATAGCTTTGATAGATGAGATCTCTCTCATATGTGATCCATTTAGAGCGAGATTTGAACCATTGTGTCTGTCTCTGAGTCCTCTTTCATCTCTCCAAGTTTCATGATCAATGGATCTACCATCTGAAAGCGGTTGAAGAATTACAAACACATGTCGTAGTTGTGCTTCGGAAGCTTAACCGACGCTCGATAAAGAATAACAAAATCCTTGCTTTTTCTCATGCGGTGTCTTTACTGGATCTGGGATTTGTGAATTCAAAATTAAATATTATGAAGATAAGCATTGACTAAAATATGTGATTATCATTAAAGGACATCTGTGCATGCACATAAATCCATCTGAATCTCGTGGTTATCCGGTTAAGTCTTGTGATAGATAAGGACTAAAGGCTTCATGATTATCAGTTGACAAATCTATATAAACCTCATTCCTTGATGAAGATAGGGTTTTGATTCATTTGGATTGAGAGGATTGAATCAACATGATAGTGTGTTAGAGAAAGAGATAGAGGGCGACTGAATTTACAGTGCATTAAGAGGCAGTGGCATATATGACCGTTCTCTGATTTGCATCTGAGAGAGAGAGAGAGAGAGAGAGAGAGAGAGAGAGAGAGATATTATTAGTTTTTCAAATCCACTTGAAGCCCGATCTCGAAGAGCAGCTGATCATACGACAATAA